TTTATGCAAGGCATTCAGGTTTTTCCAGGCTGGTGGCGAGAGAAGCCCTGATACCTCTAAACAGGACAATAGGGACAAGAATTAGGGCATTACCTCCTCCAAAGCCCAGAGCGCATTCACGCTTCGCGTTAACACGAACAGCGAGTTGGTGGTGCATATGGAGGATAGAGCGGAGCACGAGCTGACAGGCCACCTTATCCACTTGGGTTGGATTTCGCCAGGCAACCAACTGATGACTGCTTCCCGCCGGAGTGGTTGGTGTGGTAGCGCCAACAGCAGTACCGTCTCCGCCACTTCCGCTGCCAATGCTGCTGAAGTGGTGAAATTGACTCCGCAATAACAGGAAACATAGACTCATTGGATGAGCTGTGGACAAATAAGTTCATTAGAGAGCATAGATTTAGCCACCTTTCACACATGTACATAGATAATAAAATACAAGAATGGGAAAAGACGCTTAAGTTGCTTTTCCTATTTGCGCCTACGCTTGGGAATCATAGGACAAAGCGTGGCAAAGTAGGGATTTAACTATTATACTGAGGGCGAACAGACCAATAAACAATATCCTACTTTCTATCCGTAAGTCAATAAATCCAAATAATATAAAAGTGAAGTTGATGAAACTATTTGTGGTCTATCATTAGCCCTCTACTTTAAGTTCTCCGTGGGCATCACATCATCCTCGGAGAAGGACGCACATCTGAAAATTATGGCAGTTTGCTCAAATTTACTACGAATGACCCGAAGAGTGTAGTTTTGACTGTGTTTGGGCCAAGCCATCTCTTATTCTGTGTTTTTTGTGCTTCAGCGGCATGCTTCACTTTAGCTAGAAGTTCTCACCCTTTTCAGACGACTTTCGAGGGATTTTTATTTGAGAATCTGGCCATTGCAACGCTTGCAAGTCTCAAGGTAGAGGCTAAAACCTTCAATTAACTGTGGCAAACAAAACCTGAATTCCGATACCAGGGTACTCTCCAACGCTTTTTATTCTGCAGCAGATTTCCTTGAAACTTTGCTGTGCTAGAGTAATCAGATAATCTATTACGCAGGTTTCTTCTAGTCCTATTACAATTCGCCAGTTTTTACCACAACAGTAACCACAATTCTCTTATTTTGATGGCCGCTGCAAATCAAAACGATTCAAGCTACTCCTTGGCATGATTCAGATGGCTTCCAATTCCCCATTCTGCTGTCATCGCATATACGAATGAAGAACACCTTAAACTACATCTTTGGAAAGCAGTCAAATAATTTTCATTAAATTTTCCTCCAATGCACTGAACCATCTTGTAATAACTATCAATCTATCAGAGACTTCATTTCATTCGATTAACTATTTGAGTTGAAAACTATATAATAAAGGTGCCGCGGTGCCTACAGTGGAGTCGGAAAAGGGGTGCGATGATGTCACAGAACCGAGCGAGTTGAAGTAAAGGTGGAGGATTGTCGAGGAAGGAGGTGAGAATAATCTCGAGGATTGGAATGAGACGAAGTACAAGGTGGTCGTAGTAGACAGGCTGGCATGGACGTCGTCTGAGTATAACTGCCGAGGGGGTTGGAGTCAAAGGGGGTGAAGTATCCGGCTGACCCCCTCCTCCTCCTCCTTCCACTCTAGTTGATGGTGGTAGAATAATCGTCTGCTTCTCGGGCAAAATCTCATGCAACAGTACCAACAATTCTGTCCATCGACGACTCGATATTATATTCTTTGACTCTGGAGCCTGGAAATGCAACAAATGGTTGAAAAAGTGGAGATTCAATGAATTACTACATTTGCGATCACTGGAATCTATAATGAAACGCGAGTAAGTGGAGACGTTAACGGCTGATCCACTTTTAGCAACAATGTGTGCTTATTGCAAACATCCGAAAATCAGTGCTCTTTCACAAGTGATGGCAATGTTTGCAGCTCAATAAGATCGACGCTTAATCGAAGGTTGATAGGATAAAATATCCCTTAACGTTCAAACATTATGCATATTTTTACATTTGATATAGCCATGTACATTTGAATACTCCATAATATTACATTTGCAGGATATAATATTTAATACTCGTTTTCAGTCGAAGTTGACGAGTGAAGAGGTGAGGGGAGGGGGATAAACTTACGAATTCACCGACGGCTTGAATAGCTTGAGTGAGTTGTGGGCATTGGGTGATGAGGAAGAGGGCAATGCTATGGCCAGCAGCAACATCAATTAGCGAGTGATTCGAACGCATAAACTATAGTAACAGTAAAATGTATTACATGCAATAAATTAGGCAGTTCTTGCTTTCAAAACTCTACTTAAAATCAAATACTACTTTTAAAGCGCCTATATTTACCCTGATGAAAGTAAAAGAACACACCTACTAACTGGAGTCTTTATTTTAACATACCCGTTTTGACGATATCGCAGAGGTTTTACAAAAAGCCAATCATGAGTTTTGTCTTCTAGCATTTAATTTCCTACTCAAAATAAAGTAGGTGGATGTAAATACAAACTTTTTAACATTTAACGAACGAAGAAGTAAGTGGAAACTGTTTATCCTTTTGAATCCGATATCCTGAGCTCATAGGACATTCCACTTTTGGCATTTCAAAATGCCCCCAAACTCGATCTAATTCGCTAAAATAACTGAAGAGAAAATTTAATTAAAGGTGGAAGATCCGAAATACCAGAAAATTGGTTGAAAACCAACTGAAATATATAGCTGACTTGAATTACTATGAGCAACTGGCAGAAAAAGGAAGCACCCAGGAAAGAATAAATAACTTACGAGGTAAAGGAGGAGCCGATCGAGTGTTATAATTCCATACTGGACACAGAAAGTTATCATGGCAGAGCGTAACTAAGTGGAAATAATAATTAGTTTAAAGAATCCCTCACGCATTCTTACTTTCATTGCTTTTATGAGAGAAAAACATCCTAAACAGAGCTGGCATCGTTTCAATTACGTGAATGCATAGATCCTGATGATGAAAATCCTTTTGATTCCTATGCAATCCACTAAAACGTTCTAGTTCTTTTGGAAGAAATTGTCAAACTATCTGATCCGTTTTTACTGAAGATAACGTGAATCAGGTCTTGCAAGAAATCCATACTCTACGACTGTTCTCATTGACTGGAATTAACTAGGACCTTAGATAATTCGAGCAAATGGATGTGCATCGATGAGTTTGGAAGGGGACACTCGATGAACTATCGCAACTTCCATACGTATATTCTGTCCCATCCGCTGTAAACATATTGCTTTTATAAAAACTCTTAAAATTTTGTCATGTTTAATTCGATCATTTTCAAACGAATTTGAAAACGTAATATTAATAGATTACTATTTATTGAATGAAGTCTTATCAGGTATAAAGAGCGACAATAGGGTTAGTATTTTGGCAAGAGTGCTCGCCAAAATTTGGGGGTTGCAATTTCGGAACCCTTTATTTAAATCAATTTAATGAATTTATCATACTAAGAAATGCTTTCATAATTAGGGTGCTAAAGACCTTTTAAACAAATTGTCTGACTTCTGATTGATATATCTGTTCAAATCAGATACAAAGATCTTTTACTTTGTCTTCTCGAGAAACTCGGAATACGGAGTTCGCTAATCAAATTTGAGCCACTGACTTACATATCACGTGAGAGTCTGAACTATTATGTGACACCTCGAATTACCTGTCATGTATGACAATAATTGATTAATCTAATTACTCCGATTAATTTGAAATATGATACATGGAACCTGGAACTTTTGTTAATAAACCTTGGTTGGGCACAGAAGATAACTGAAGTAATGCACAGGTTTATTGACTGAGAAGGCGTGATTCGGTGTATGAGAGTGCGATGCATGAATATATGCCAGGCGATAATGCTACACACAGTATTTTAATAGGCAGTGCGTTTAACTTGAACTAAAAAAATTCAACGGCGCGTAAAGCATCAAAAATGCTTATTTGGAGTTATCTGTGTAGTCATAGGAGATATTAGCTAAAGATGACTGTGTAAAAACAATGAAACGCCAGTAAATGACTACAAAGGTATATGTCTTTGCTTTTACACCCTGTTTCTCAACACTATTATCGCTATCGATAATCCTTTTTATCACTCGAAGTGCTTAAAGGTGGTCTTTCTCATTTTAACTCATTTGAAGTTTTGCAGAAGAAACCTAGAGTTCGTAAAAATAAGTAGACAATTAGAGTGCTTTTCCGTTCTGCAAAAAAATTACATTTACATGCCAATCTTAGAAAGATGCAGGAAACTGAATGGAAAACCAAAACCACTGACGAAACGATAGATAAAGTAACCTGGCCGTTTTAAACTCAATTTGTGACATTGAACTTTTACGAGCATCACAGTGAGAAATCTACTGCCGGATGTGATTTTGAAGAAATGAAATATGACAGCCATGACCACTAATAATTTCATATATATATATATTACTAATTTTAATAAGAGAATAACCCAGTTTATGGAAAATCTATTTTATGGGTTTCTTGCAAATTTCATCAATATCAGATCAATAGTAAGTAATTTAAGGCTAATTTTTATGCTTTGAACTATAGCATTTTCATTTTGGTAAATTAAATTTGCAAATAATTTTTTCAAGGTTTTAATGCTTTTCCATTTTCATATCTATTTCAAATCCTCAACATTAGCCTAACATAGACTATGCATCCCATATTTTTGCTTGTAATAAAGTAAGCTCCGTTATTACTGCACACCGATAAAAAGGGAAATACGCCAGTCATTTTGTGCATTGCCGGTGCATGGAACAGCTCCTTTCAAACCAAGCAAAGATGCATGAATACCTGCTTGAAATAAATAATGAAAAGAGCAAACTGGAATGTTTATTAATTAGATTGGATGGATCTTATCCGCTTTTTGAAGTTTATATTTGTAAAATTCCCTATGATGTACAATAATAATAACAACAAGAGGATGATAAATTCACGTGTCATGCAGAATTTGAGATGATAATTAACGTAGAAGTGATAATCTCATATTGTAATTATGCTCCATTCATTCGTGAAGGGATGGAGTAGCGATGAACACTTTGGAGTATTTCTCGACATCTTTCTTTAGTCTATTTGTTCTGGTTGTCACACGTCTACCGAGCTATAAGTAGTTAGATGTGAGGTGATTAATTAGGGCATGAATGGGAAATTTCAAAAAATATAATAATAATTAATAATCTCACGAGAGTTCGTTGTCGGAAGAAAAGGAAAGTAGGGCATGCAGTGACGTTGAAATCACTAGCCAGTTGCTGAAAGTAGGAAAATTTAAAGTTACTACTGAAAGACAAATCATAACACTTGTTTTGTTAGAAATCGCCACTTACAAGGTTTTTTGTGGCATCAACGGCAAGAATAATGAGCCTTTTGTAATCTTTGCTTATCTCCTGTAACGTGGTCATCAAATCTTGATAATTTTCATCATTGAATTTTACGAAAGCCACCATAATCAGCCTAGCCTTTGCGTCATCTAGGCATTCCTCGAATGACATGTTAATCTATTGATGTAAAATAAACATTTTGATTTCGAACTTATTCACATTTTACATAAACATCACTAAAAGATAGTTCAAATCTAACCTCTTGAAGACCAGCCATAGCTAATTTCTGTTAAAGGAAGAAAATGATTAAAGACGAAGAAATAAATAAGTTAGATTTAATAGGAAATAAATTTTACAGGGTGTTGCCAGACGTGGATATCTTCGATTGATTCACATTGGAGTGTCGTGAGTATTTAAGGCGATGTGGAATGGCGTGTTACAAAGTGCTAAGTTGATTATGATTGGTTGATCCTTGCACGCTCATGAATTGTGCTTGTATGAGCCAGCACACGACTCGAGATGACGGAATACTTGAGCCTTCTGATCGTGTGCATTCTTGGCTCGCCTCACATCGTTTCCTTTATCTTGTAGAAAACATTCAAGTAGTCGTCATGTGGATGATGATGCGACATCAAAAATGTGCACTTCGGAATATGAAGAGGCCTAACAGGAGAAATCTCTTTAGTATCATAATAGAAATTATTTGAAAACTTTGGCAAAATTGATGCAACGTGGTAGATGTGGGTAATGCATAGATTTAAGGATCTGGAAAAAAATTAAATGAAGAAATTCCCGCGATTTCTGTAAAATATAATAAAAAAATGAAAAGACTTCCAGAAGAAAGCTTGATAGTAGGCGATGAAAGGTACTGATAATTAACGTTAAATAGGGCGTGATATCTTCTTTTGAATTATGTAATAAAGCACTGTTAAAGGACGAGTTATAAAAGAGAAACAGGATTCAACTGTGAGAAGTAAATACTGATATGGTGTTAATATTGTTTAATATTAGAAAGAATTAAATCACGTGGGTTAAATGATTTTTTCCTATTTCATATTTGTTTAATTGTAAGGTTTGTTATGATAAATGATAGTTTGTGGAAGAAAATGAGAACACATTCTTTAGTATGTGATGATAGAGTGGATATTTAGGTAGTGAAATCATGTTTTGGCATTAGATTTAATTCGCTTTAATTAATGGTGAAGGATGAGCACAAGAGAGGGAGAAAGACACAGACGGGCTCTTCCATTGATTTACACAAGATAATGCACGAACGAAAATAACTTTTAAGCGACTGGTGGGTTCTTAAATTACACCTTTCCCCGAAGGTTGGGGTAAAATTGGGGCTGTTCTCATCAATCTTCGGCTTAAAAATTGATGCCTGTTTTTAATCTACCTGTTATTTCTCTCACTGTTTTGAAACTATACACATGGACAACACATATCCCTCACTTCACCTTAACTCCTCACTAATGAGTACGTTCTCATGAAGTCTGTTTCATCCCTTCTAGATGTCAGTTGAAAATTGTGGAAGACCTTATTTATGTTAATGTATAAATATAGATAAATATGTATACCCTGTCTCATTCGTATAGAGTGAAAGAGCCACTTGAAAGATTTATTTATTTATTTATATCAAATGGCAGACATTTTGATAGTTATCATTAGCCCTTTAGTTGACTTCAGGCTTCACAGAGGGGAAGGAACATCAAAGTGGAAAAAGTCTTGGGAGGGGGGGGGGGGGGAGACGGAAGAGACAGACTCAAAGGTAGAAAAAAGGTGAGGTGAGTACCTTGAAAGTAGTCGAATATGACATACACTGGGGTGATGGTGGTTCGGAGTCAGAAGTCAACTGCTGGTTAATAGACTTTTTTTGCCGTATGAGTATACGTTGCCCAGGGTGCACCACGTGGAGGTAAGTCTATCACACACCCCGCCACTTGAAAGATAGAGTGTTGACAACGTCGTAACTTTGTAAGATTTCTTCGAGTTTAACTCAGCTGTAGAAGTTGAGTAAATGGCATTTTTTCTTAACTGTTGAAACGCACACACTATTTCAAAATAGAAACATTGATAAGTCATCATTGGATATAGCCACGAACAACTACTGAATCTAAAATTGATCAATATTAAATGTTTGGAAAGTGAACTTTAGCTTAGTGTTGGATAAAAGAAATATTTTTTGCCTAAAATCACCTAGGTAAAAATTTCACATATCTATTAATTTAATCATTTTCAAGTTTAAATAATTTTTTAGAAGCGCTTTAGTTATATATCGTTTCTGGATATACTTCGTGGTACATGTGCCAAGCTTACTTTATTTCGTGCTATTACTAATTTAGAGAGACATACAAGACTATAACTGTCGGCGAGCAACAAAAATGACATTTTCTGACACCTTCAACAATGTCGGAATTACAAGTTTGACAATCTGGGGATTTTTCGTAACTATTTGAGATGTTCAAAGCCATAGAAAGAAAAGCTCTTCCATCTGAATTTTCAGATTTTCAACATGTGGATATGTGGGACGCGTCATCGCTTAGCCAGTTATCACATGAGGCGACGCGCACGGACCAGGTGCGGCCAACACTGCCAATAGCCAATCAGATGTCCTCCTTTGTTTATCGTATCCACCATGTTGATAATGCCCAAGCTTCCGTGGATAACACACGACCAGCGTGTAACTTTCCTAATAAACGTGTTCCTCGTGATCCGTCTCCTTTTTCTACATCTCGGCAATAGCTTACCTAGTCTGGGAAGTCTGATCTGCCAATAGAGACTTCTGAGCTTATTCAGGTTTCGTTAGGTAGCTAATCCGCTACAGATACTGCTACGGCATTTATGCTCGCGGTACCTTCATCCCTTTCTAAGGGAATTGGATCTATTGAAATTCTTGATTCTGCGGCTTCTGAAGGTGCCACAAAATATACGCCTGAGTTCCTTCATGATCCCACATCAACCAAATTCTTTGAAACGTAGTTTAATAAATACAATAGGTGTTCACGGTGGAATATTCAAATGGGAAGTGAAATAAGAGTTTACTACATTTCCAGAAAAGGGTGAGGGCCATCGAATGATTTTCTTAATCAGTTCTTCTTTTTTCCAACACTGGCTATAATTATCCCGAACATACGATCAAGAATGATTATGCTTTATATGACATCTCAACCACTATAACTTTTCATAACAAATTTAGTTCCTCTGCCTTAACAAATCGATACCCTATTGTCTTATTTTTAATTCTGGACTTCAAATGAAGCCTTGATTACTAACAAAAAATATTGAAACCAATTGAGGGGAGGTGAAATTCAACCAATAGCTGCCAAAAAAGCCTAGTCATAGAAATATTTAAAATTTTGGAAACTTAAGCGTTATTAAGCACTCATTGATTCTAACGACATGACATCTCATCTGCTGAACACAATATTTTCAATTGAGCCACAGTCCTCACAATTTGTGACACGGTCGATCCTTCTGTCAAACAGAAACCGTCTTCAATTTTTCAATGTTGTCGAGGTTGGCATTTTCGGTAACAATGTTCTTTAAATCATTACCTGTGTAAATAGTGCCGAAAGGTTGAACAAAATAGGAAATGGTTACCCAGCATGACAATGCCAGGTGAAGGACGAAACCAACAAATTCTTCATAAAGTGCCTAATGAGAACTACAGCCAAAATGAAAATGAATCTTTGTTTATTATTTCAAAACATTTTAGGTGATAATAATATCATTCCCCCCACCACCATATTATCTCCAATTAAATGATCTGGTTGGGTGATTCGTTGACTTTCTGAATCAGACATTTCAAAAGAGACAACGGAAGAGATTTCCACACATTCCTCTTAAGACATCATGTGGCACCACATTCAGCATTAACGAAATCAGTCTTGCCTAGCCTCTTATGGGTTGTAAACGTAGGATGCTTTACTTCTAAAGGACTCACTCTTCATAAGCCAGGAATAATCTTGCAACCGGCACAGCAATGTACATGCTAAATCATCGACTGAGCGGCACATAGGCAGAAGGTATTATTAGAGCTCAACCAAGTTGCCTCCCTTCCATGATGGATGTCAATTAACAAACTTTAATGCATCCCCGAAATCATCACCGTCATCGGTAAATAATAAAACCATAGAAACTGTAAACGGGTCCTCTGTCAATTATCAAGGATTCTTATTACCTCCCTCCATTTACAAATAATGAAACTCTGGAAATTCAATTCAGTAACCACCAAAACCTTAATTCAGCATGTTGCAGGAATGCGCCAAAAAATTTCCTGGTGGATCCAACATTGAAACCTTTCACCGAAAGGTGTAGGATAAAATAAATGATTTGCAAATTCTATCCAACAACGACTCGCACCTCTACTATATTTCGAAAATCATGTGTGATGGCAAATAATTAATTAGACTTGTAAATAGGTAAAATTACATTAAGGAAGTTGGCTTACTTCCTTGTTATTATTAATTTTGGGAGACTTATATTATGTAACGGATCGATATACAAATAAATCACGACCTATTCTCGATAATCTCCACGGCAAAATATTCCAGATGGTGGGTTAACGGAACTAGTAAAACTGTCTTAATAGATGGAAGAAACAGGTGCATAGCGAGTATAACGGTTATTCATTTTTATGATCCTAGCAAACATGATTAGTGATTGTATACTTTAAGCATTCCTTGAATTAACTCTAATAGCTGATAGGCTAAATAAACCTCCAGAATGTTCGGGTGCGCAGTTTAATGATATTAGAAATGTGTACCCCATATAGGCCACAACGGTTACCGTGGCGTCGATTAGCTCAATAAGTAACCGAAGTAATAATCAATAAATCTTCGGATTAACAGACACCTGTGATAAGTTTCCCCAAATCTTTCGTCTTATAAAAGCGAAAATTTTCCCCTTTTTATTAAAATGCTAGCAACACTGTTATTTTACTAAAATAATTGTTAAATCAAGAACATCACTATAGCTAGATTAAAACGGCATTAGTAAATCGATTGAATTGTGACGTATAAATCAAACTGTTAATAACCCTTTCATCAAAGAAGCGCTGTATTTGTATTTACCATATGTGGTGTAATAAAATTTTAGCTTCAATGACGAAGACATTTCATACCTATCTAGGAAAATTCGAAGAGGTGTGTAACAGAAAGGGCGTGTATCATGTTGGCATCGACATAAGTGAGTTATATTACGAATATGTTGAAATATAGCAAGGTGGTAAATGCACTTATTGTGAAAAATATTAAAGCATTTCACGAAATACGCAAACTAACATTTTTTAGAACTACTTGTATAAATTGCAAAAAGATTTCAACTTTTCTGGCTATAATAGTAAAGCCATACATTCTCCTAGGTCCCACAATTTTGAACGGAAAATTTCCAAGTTGATTTCCGTTACTTTAGAAAATGAAAGACTTTCTTGTCGATCATTATCCCACAGCTTAATGACGAGTTTCCGCCAACTTCTACCATCTATCAAAGGAGAAGTTATCATTTCCCTCATTTTCCTGAAATATAAAATAATGACATACAGTTTCAAAATTACATGAAATGCATTGGCGGAACCGTGGTAGCTGTATCAACGGTAAGCATACTTTTTAGCTTTAGGTGAAGACGAGCATCACGATACATTTAAAAAGGAACCCGTTTTACAATCGTGGAGCTCATAATACACACTTAGTACAAAGTTTGTACTATAATTAACAGAAATGAATGTCGTATTAAAAGAGTAATTCGAAATTGTTTAGTCTGAACAGGAATTCAAGACTTTTCAGAATGTAATGCAGATTAATTAATGAAAATGCGATACTATCTGCATGGGACATAACTTTGAAAAGAAGCTTTTGGGTTTACAATTAGGGCATAACCAGAACAGAAAGGAATATTGCTCGATTTTCGCTAAATTTTTTATATATTGGAAGAAAATCTATCAAAAATATTTTGTTATTGAGGAAAAATGCTAGTTAATTTGATTTAATTGGACTTAGTTTCCCCCATTGTTCCGACAAGCGCAAAATGTCAAACAAAAGATAAAATACGTTCGAATTTTCATTCTGAACTGAGAATTGGTCTGATAACTATTGTAAAATATATGTGACTACGTAATAATTTTATGTTTATGTATTTGACCAGATAGGGAAGAAATTTTTAAATACATTTGAACATAAATGTATTTATCCAACCCTTTGACGCCCGAAGTAATTCTTTGAAAAATGTTCCCAACACCGCTCACACGCAACACATAGCAGTCTGATGCCGACGTGATAAGATTTGGTGCCATTACGTGTAGGCTATAGACGTATTAAACATGTTTTAAACTGCAATAGCGCTTTCTGTAACGAGTCTAGTACTACTGGAGATTATTTTTTAAGAGGACAGTACAGTTATGAAGGTTTTCACGGTTTAAACATTAGTGCCATTGAACAAATACATGATTATACACTTCAATTCAATCAATAAATAGTAAATAACAATTTATTCTTCGTTTCATATAAAGCATGAATTTGAAAGGGTACACTTAACAAAAGACTGTTTTGGAATTCATAATATAAAAAACCGCAACTAAAGAAGAAAAACAAATTGAAAGGAAGTAAATAAATAAAGTATAAAAAATAATACAGTTTTATTCACTGAAAAGATGAAAGAGGCTACAAGTTCTAAAAATAGTAGGAATGAACATTCAAATTAAGAATAAAATATTTCTAAGACATCTAGAAATATTTCAAATGAAAATGAACTAACAGATAAATTGAAAAGAGCTCATGAAGGAAAAAAAACCTTTCAAATTCTATTCGTTTTAAGTTGCTCTCTCACATGATGCCGTATTTGATGTCATTTAACAGAAATGGCTGAATATTTGGCATCGATTTTTGGAACGGAAAAGGACAAGTAATTTTTTTATTATCTTCAAAGTGTTAGAGTTAATTGTTCATTTTACTTTAAAATCGGTGCTTGTCGGCATGGAGAACAATGTTCCAGGCTTCACAATAAGCCTACATTCAGCCAGACTATTCTATTACAAAACTTATATATTGCTCCCCATAACAACGCGAATCAGGTAATGGTGGTAAATTACTGTCTTATTTTTAAGAATATGTCTAATCTTACGGAGGTCCAAGCACAAGAAATGTTTGACGAATTTTTTGAAGAAGTGTTTGTCGAGTGTGAATCTAAATATGGTGAGATCGAAGAAATGAATGTTTGTGATAACCTTGGAGACCATTTAGTTGGGAACGTATACATAAAAGTAGGTTATTTTGTGGATTTTCATAAATTTTAGTTTCGACGCGAAGAAGATGCTGAAAAGGCGGTTAAAATGCTCAATCAGCGCTGGTTTGGTGGAAGACCGGTGCATGCAGAGTTGTCCCCAGTTACTGATTTCCGTGAAGCGTGCTGTCGTCAATATGAATTGGGGTATGTTTGTAGACTTTGCATCTCTATTTTTTTCCTTTTGCTTTATATTATTAGGGAATGCACTCGTGGTGGTTTCTGCAATTTTATGCATTTGAAGCCAATATCACGTGAATTGTGTCGTAAACTCTATAACAGAAGCAAAAGAAGGCATGGAGGCAGACGTAGAAGGTCTCGATCTCGTTCTGCACATCGCAGATCACGATCACCAAGAGGCGGACGTAGTTCCAGGCGCTAAGTGTTCTTGGAATAGTTTTCAATGTACATTTTATTGTTTTGAAACAAAAGTTAAAAAAATATCGGTCCCATTTTGTATTAAATTTGGATATTTTGATATTTTACTGTCTAGTATTTTTTCCATTCGATTCGCTTTTAAATGCATGTTTTGATAATTGTCTCTGTTCCGCGTTTTTTGTGATCATAGATATTTTCATTAGAATCATATGGACTTTTTGGTATTCTTTGTTTAGAGGGTTTGTACTGTTTGTCATATTTCTCTTCTATTCGCTGTCGTAGTTTTTCCTTCGAATGAATAGCTGCTAAGGCTACCAGTGTTTCTTTTCAAATTTCATGTTGTTTAGAATTGTATTTTACCTGTTTGTAAACTGTAACAAGTTTATTGTAGTTATTGATTTAGGCAGTGATTCAATGGACACCACAACAATATATGTATATCAGAACCAATTTGATATGGATTATCCATAGTTGATTCAGGTTTGTTTTTAGTCTATGATTTTGGACTTTGTGTGAGTTTCAATGCCTGCTCAATCTTTTTTATTTCTTGTGATCGGAATTAGCCTTTCATACTGGCAGCTGGCCAATCTTAACCTTCTAGATGTTCACGCAGACTACTTCGCATGGTTGTTTGTGAGCCTATATCACCTTGAGTGGGGCGTTGATCCATTTCATTCTAGTTGTATTTCCCCTATTAACAAACTCGTTCACTATTTATGGTATGATTAGCTTACTTGGTTCTATATTGGAAAATCTTGTTCACTTATTCTGGAGATATCAGAAGAAATGTTTTTTGGAACAGATATTTATCATTTAAAATTCGTAATTTACGTACCCTTCTTTCCCTATTTAAATTTGTTAACTTATCTTGCATTTGCACGCTTTAAAATTGTGTAAAAACTTCATTCCAGGTTTAGCTATTTTTTTGGGTTGAGTCGAAATTGACAAAAGTTTTTTTAATCTGGAAGATGACATTTGCCATAAAAGATGGAAATATTTATTTCGCATGAAAGCGCTAATTAAATTATGAAATTGTAAGAATAATCCTCTTTTTAATCAGAGCAAATTAGTTGATAAATAAAGTTTATCTAATACCATTGCAATGTGAAATCCAATCGTATTCAAAGCGCAGTGTAGCTTGAACAATAATCAGGTCCACAGTCTTGGAATCCATAAATACTATTGCATTCGGAGTTTGAACTGCTCATTTCACTACTGATAGCTGCAACTGCAAGATCGGCCTCGCTTGAATAGTTTTCTGCAGAAACACTTCCGAGAACGGTCTGTTCGTATGGAAGTATCTCGGCGACCATGTTATCATTCTGAATTGTGGGATCTAAGGGTACGACTGGAACTAGATGTGGTTGTGTGGTAAATTGATAATTCGAAGGGAGAATGGTTGATTCACTTGAAAAGGGGATGCCACAGTTCCCATAAACGCGTTGGGTCTCTGCTTCTTCGTTCGAAGATAAAAATGAGCGAAAACTTGGCTGAATTGTTTCATACTGAGATGAAAATGGAGAGCCGGATATTTTGGATGAATAGCGACAATAATTATTAATAAATTAGACTATTTCAGCGCTTATATTAACTTACATTTATTTCAGAAAACGTATGATATTTAGATAGGGTTTGAGCAGATTTTGTACACTCATTTGATCTACCGATTAAATTGGATTGCTCTGCTAGTGTCACTGCATTCGTATCATTGGTAATATCATCAGAGTAGCCTGTTGAAGTAGAATATGGAGCTGTTTCATTATTCAGAAGCGAAATTGTTGTATTACCTTTCGAAGGTGATTCAACGAAGGAAAAATAATTAATTTGCTCATTTTTTATTTGGATCGTCATGGACTTCAGAACATGCTCGAGAAATTTAGCGAATTCAACGAGTATGATTGCCTCCTGGTTAATTCCAGATTCAGATAAAATCAGCTGTGAAAGCATACATGAACAAACAACTTCAATTAAACCAGGAGTTATGTAAGCATCGAAGCCACTTAAAAAATCAGGATTAACGAAAGACCTACTTTACTGTAGTTTTAGATTCTCTAGAACGGTATGAATTTTCGGTTGAATTCAAGCGGTCAGAGTCGGAGCAGTTTCTACACCCTTTGCATTTGCATAAATCGGAACAAAATATTTTAGCCTTAAAAATTAAACATATGAAAAATTACTTCAAAACATTCGCAGTAATTTTTGAGGCAACTCGATCTCTTACAGTTGCAGCCTCTGGAGTGTTTTTTGATTACGCACCCTAAGAAGGACTATAAATGTAGAAATGATTACCAATCTTAGGATAGAAAGCTGATGGATTTTTATCAAGAGTTTGCTGTATTGCTCTTGTTCGATCTTCTTCAAAATCGATATTATTCATGCAGTTAGAGCAACTGCATCCAATGCAAGATTGACCCCTCGCAAAGCACTCACAATATAATTTCAGGCAATGAGATTTGGTGCAGTTACATGACTTTTTCTCGTTAGTGTAATAGAATTTTGTTAATACAGATTGGTTACTGAGATTTTTAGGGTCAATTGAGTGTGGTTCAACTGAAACATTGGAAATAAGTGCGGCTTTTGCTCCTATCTCATGGCTCAATTTAGCGTTTGAGAAGGCAATCTCAAGGCAAGAAGAACTTCCCAAAGATGGTGATTTTGTACAAGTTAAGTCGCATTTCTCATCATCATTGCACCTGCTTTCATTTTTGACAAAAATGGTAGGCGTTTCGCCACTCATTCGATTTAGCTAAAATGCGTTACTGCGCCCAAAGATGAAAACAAGAGTTGTTTGTCAAGGTCTTATGAAAATTTATCAAATCAAGGCAATAATAACGTTTGAATGGTCAACAGATAAATAAAATTAAAATAACAATATTCCTCAAAATTTTAAAGCAAATCATGTCTTTAAAAGTGGCTAAATAAAAATGTTGTCGATGTAATTATAAAAACATTGAGGTGAATAAAGACAATCTCGCACATTCGTAACTATATCACTTTGAAATGCCCAACAGTTATTTTCTTCGTTCATCTGCTATGAATTTCAGCGCACTTATAGGCTACCAAAAATCATATTTTTATATCTTAAGCTTAATACTGACATTCCGGTTTACAAAATGGGTATCAAAAGGGCTATTGCGAAAAATATAGTACTTACCTTCATGAATTTTCTCCGATTCGTTATTTTAAACGCAAAAGTACTGATATATTGATCCGAAATGCATCTTGTTTGAGTGTTTGAAATTAAATTAAAAAAGTAAACCAAAGCTATCAATAACATTTTGTAATAAGCGATTTTTATGTGTCCTTACTAATAAAAAAGTTGAGCGGCCTTTTTGCTTTTGGCCAGTAAAAATAGTGCCCTTTTGTGTTGGCGCTTACCCTCTTTCACACTAGGATTTCTCTGCTTTGTATTACTGATGCTCGGTGGGAGCATAAACTTTTCTTTATTACAAAATCATCCAGTGTGAGTTGTGTTTTATTTGTTGCTCTCTTTCCTTTTTTATTTATTGAGAACGGAATATCATTTTTATATATATTCAAAATTAATTTAAATTTACTTGACAAGCAGGAAATCGGTAATAATCCTATTTGTTTGATTAGTGATTTTAAGACTGCTTTTTTTGAAAATAATTTCTTTATTCCAAAATTTTAGCGTAAATTCCGTTGCTGTTCAATTGAAAAATCACATTTCTCAATGTATTCGGGAGCTTGAAGTACTTTCCTCATATTTTCCCCATAACCTTTCTTACTTTTTCGTTGAAATAAAATTGCTTTCAAATATCCTTTAGACCTCACTAACTTTGGAAAGGGGTTTTAGTGCTTTTATGAATCCTGAACCTTATTCAATAATAGAACAAGATGCAGATCGTCTTGACTCACTTTGGCCTACTTTGTGTATGTTATCTTCCAAAATTGTTCCTTTCTGGCCATCACAAAGTAAAACGGATTTAATCGGCTTTGTTATTGACATTTTCCTGGAATTCGTTGCCTCCTGCAAAAATGAAGGGGTCCTTCTTCGCTTGATGTGGTCTCTTGATCGCGGAATCGAGAGCGGCATTTTTTCTCCACAGTAGGCTCTTTTTGATAAATATTTCTGTATACTCTATGCAAATTTTACCCTTTGCCAAATTTTGTTCCTAGGCTTATTGCTGAAGCTTTGCTTTCAAGACGCGAGTTGGTCCCTGAAAATCAGCTTTTTTTTCGTGCCGTATTTACCTTCCTCCTTAAACTCGTTTTTTACTTGGATTACAAGAGCAATCGTATGGTTTTCACTAAAAGCATTGATAAAACATACCATGGTATTCCTAGCTTATCAGGAATACCCTTCCGAAATCCGGCCATTGAGGTATTGTTATTAGATTTCTCTTGCCTTACAACTTGCATTTATTCTTTCGCCTATATCATATACGGTTCTTTTGCCGGTGTCCATTTGCAAGCAAAGTTTCGTTTAATTTAAGCACATTTATGCTTTGCTAGTTTTGGCAAATTGGTCAAGGTTTTGCTCATTTTCTTTTTACCAAGTCATCTTGGTGTTGAACTGTTGGGGTTAATTATATAAGAAATAAGTTAGAAATTTTAAATTTGAACTGTTTTTAAAAAATCATTATTTTCTTTCTAAATACTGGATTACCTGCTCCCAATTAGCAAATTAAGAAGACGTTGGGTGTAAAAGGCATTAGAGTAGTACTGGTGAGTTTAACCTACATTCTAATCGTCTTAATCACACTTTATTGGTAACATTGAAGGTTATACCTATCAAAATTTTTGGATATGTAAAGACTGTGAACCATCGTTTCCCTGTTTTTTTTTCGTATTTTAAATCCGAGCTTTTATAATGTTTAGTTGGTAGATTACTGACTTGTCAAGTAATTATGGGCTCTACACTGGAATTTGTATCTAAATCTTTAAATGCGAATGCAATTGTCCTTGTTTAATTTTCTAATCGCTCTTAATGGTTACGTTTTAATTCGTGTTACTTCCATATATTTTTGCTCTTTTTAACATCTGTTTATCGGTTTTATCTATTGTCTCAATATATTCGTTTTCAGTTGGTTCAAATTCTTTTGTGTCGCGAAATCAACCTTCTACCTGCTCTCTTCACAATGTATGAGCTACGTGGTGAGAAAAGCTCTCGACCCAGCAAAGTGAATATCATTTTTTCATTAATCAAATGAAAATTTTCGTTTCATATGTTTTTTTTCAGCTTATAGAGACTGAGGTTGAGCATTTCATGTCTGAATTTGACTATCCTCTACGAATTCTTTACTCTTACAGTAAGTTGTTTTCTCTTAAGTTTTTTATGCTAAAACCATAAGTTGTCTTTCAATGATAACAGTTTCTGTAGCTTGTGGCTACTGACTGTATGTGGTCTTAATTAACCTTTTACTTTTGTTTTTTATTACTTTTACAGATGAATTAAATAGGGTACCGATCGCGGGAATAACGCAAGCAAAGCATCCGTCTTTTCGACTAGAGTCTGAATTGACATTGTCTATTTTACGTCAGCCCATTCTCTATCCTCCTGCCTTTAAGTCACGTCAGTTGGAACTTACTTGTGACTTACTTGGCCAGCTGCGTTGCACTCAGCTTGCTTCTTCCCTCCTAGCTTGTGAGGAACGTCAAACTATGGTTAGTTCGTTGTTCTGTTAGCACATTCCCACTAGTTATTTAGCATAAGGAAATGTCTTTTGTTTTTTAGGGACCCAACCAGACGCCCATGGGACAGGCTGTTGGTGACTTGATTTTTGTATTTATGGAGACCATTGAAACAAAGAAGAACACCAGATGGGCGGTTAGAGTATTTAGCCACTTGGCAAACCTTGTCATTAGTTTCATCCTTGATCGTGTTGTGCGCCTCAATGACATTATCTCTAACCTTAATTCAAAGGTAAGTTTTAAATATTGAAATAGTAATATTGATATATTTAGCTCTTGCATAAAATATTACGCCTTATTTTCAGATTGCTGGGAGAGTTTGGCCCATTTCTCGACATTTTGTCATGTGGTTTACGCTTGTTTGCATGTCAGGATTCGTTGGAAGTAATAAGGTACCACTTATTATACCATATATTTCACAATTTTCATTGTCCCTTACTATAATGATATTAATAATTCTATATAGAAACATTTTTGCGCCTTTTTTGATCGATCTCACTTGCAATGTTGTTAGAAAAAGGCTTGATCTGGCAAAATGTCCCAATTTTCTCGTAGTTTTTTTGCTTTGTTTTTGTCAGTGTGTATTACACCGAACAACAGATATGTAAGCATTTGAGTTGAAGGTTTTGACAGAGTCCTATAGCGTTTATGCATAAGAGGCCTAGACTTTGTGAATTTTCTGCGTACATCAAAATCGTAATTATATGAATCTTCATGGATCAATTCGCTTATGTATATTGTGAAATATGATTAACTTTGGAATTTTCATACAATTTAAATTAAAGCAAGTTCAGTTTTTGCTTATACTTCTGTTTCATGCATGAAGCTGACTGATTTTGTCTCGTGCCTTTACCTATTTGATCAACTTTTTCCGGAGGCTTATGAATTCGACAACGATACAGTAGGGCGTTTGGAGGAGCTTAAATCCGGTCGGCTGGAATTGTGGGGCTCAAAAAAGCGCCAGCTTATCAATACCAAAACTCTTGAAGCACTGGGTACAGGCGATCCTAATTTGCGCTTTCTTCTCTTCGTTCCCGACCACCTTATCACCAGATGTTCAGATTCCAGTGCAGATGATGACCAAGTAGATGAGAATGGGATTGAAGATCATTCGAGCATTTACAGCAGTAGTAATCTTGAAGCAATGCGTAGGTCTTGGCGTGTGAGGCCTTTTTATATATTTTAAAAAATTCCTGAACTAAATTTGTTTTTCCTGTTTTATGTTACAGCTCCTGTGAAGATGACGAAATTAGATGAAGAGGAGTTGGTTAAAAATGACGACGACGAAGAGGATCTTACACACATGGTAGCTGCTTGCGCATGTGTTTGGGAGATAATATTACAGATGAATAGTGAGGAGTCAATGGGCAGAGCTGTAAAGGACTGCCATCTTCCACGCCCCTTACCTCCCCTCCTCCATCCCCTGCGAACACAAATCGCCACATGGCTGGACAATCTCAGAGATGCTTGTAGTGGTATTTCAACGGTGACGGAGGGAGGAGATATTTCCGCGGACATTGAAATGCGTCAAGTAGTGCATGCTCTCTCGTGGTCAGAATTCATTATCACTCTCAATACCTGTGAGTATACCCTCAGTATCTTTCGTTTTTTACCACTTTCCTATTGTAAGTGTTGTCTTCGGAAGTGCAGATTCCCCCGTAGAAAATTACCCAATCACTCGAAGTGTCGTGGCGTCATTCTGGTTGCCGAGCAATGTTCCTGTGCCAGGTATTGGTGGTGGTCTTCCTCTGGACAATGGACCCTTTACTCTGCCGTATGGATTGACTGGGGCTGGACGTCGGAAACCCCTTTCCAACCGCTTCATTCAAAAAATGTCAATTCATCTTCAGCTCAAGTGAGTTGCAATCGTCATCGCATCTTTCTCCTTTGAGTTGCTTAAATTTAATTATTTTTTTGTTCAACGACTGACGTATGATCAGTGCTGTCGCCTTTTTTTAAAAACTTAATCTAAAGTTTATTTCATAAATTTAAACGCCGAAAAGCTAGCAAAGAAAATGCAAATCCGATCAATATTTAGTTAATAATTTATTTATCCAATTTGACCTTTAACTGATCTCTATATGCTCATTATAAAGAAAATTAACCAAAAAGAGGTTTCTCTTTCTGAATTTTTTTTCTTTAGATTTTGCAATGAAATGCTACAAAAGCTAAGTGAAAATACCAAGCCTCTCTCTATGGAAACGAAAAACGCTCATCTAACTTCACCGGCCACCTTGGAAACTTTCGGTCGATTTCTTTCCTATCAAATGGCAAAGAAAGTTATTCCTCTTCGTGGTATATTCTTCACTTTCAGCCCTTAATTTACTCACTTATGTTAGAGATCTATCGCCGACTTTTGGTGGAAAGCAAATCATTGAATATTCCTCTCTACCACGAAAAAACCGAATCCGACAACACCGATGACTGTCACCCACCAGTGAGAGACGATTTTTACTGTCTTACGTTTTGGTTTGACCTTTTGGGCCATCGATGGATTGAAGCATTGCCTGTGGAACATCGTCTTCGATACCGTGACGAGCTTTTTCTTCGAGTGAACCTAAACTCACATGAGCTTATCTATGCGTATGCTGTCTTTTTATTTAAAGTAGCCATTTTTCAGGTTGGATTGGATCATCGTTCGATTTTCGAGACGTATTCTTACCCCTGACTGCGTACTCTACAATATTCAATGTGTCTCTTTCCAACAGCAGGAATTTCTCCCTTTGCAACCTCTTCATCATCACCAGCAGATCTATTCACATTCGCGAGAGATTACTTCTCGTGTAATTTTATTTTCAACTCTACAAGCCTCCTGCGCCTATGGTAGGTCATAATGCTGGTAAAAATAAGTGCTCTACTTCGTTCCCTCACCTGAATCTGTAGCCTAATGTGAGGCGAGGTAATCAGATTTCTAGAAATATCCTTAAGAATGTTCATTCTTTTTGTGGTTTTGGTTTTTTCCTATTTAAATGACTACTTAGGGGTCGGTAATCTTTTGAACTTCACATAACCACTTTGATTCGTGTTCCTTTACCTATCTAGATATGTTTGAGATACTGAAATTACTTGACAAGGTATCTAAAACGAGTAAGACGACTAGAATAACTTTTCTCTTGGTTAACATTTTCCAATGTCAAACAAAGCAATGTGTATCAGAACTCTTTAATATAAATTTCACATTCGAAATAATTCTTCCTCTTATAGTAATTATGAAACGAATTTCTGAATTCCTTATTCATCAAGAATAGGATATAAGTAGTTCTGTTGCTATTAATTCGTTCAGATGTGGTTTTGAATAATTTTGAACTAGAATCATAATATTTACCATGTCTGGATTTTGACTTCTACTGTATTCAATTAACAATGGCCTATTTATAAGTAAATTTAGTGTGCTAACTTGTCAGTCAAATTTTGGGGAGAGGTTTATTGAATTTCGGCTTTTTTTGCTTACTCTTTCACTAGGTCAGATTAAATAACATCCTTAATCTTTCTCTGTCATATAGCAGAATTTGTTAATATACTCACTCGGTTTCACCCAGTAGTTCATAGCTTTCATTCAAGTTTCTTGAACTGCGCGCTGTAATTATCATTCTTATCTCTTTTTGAGTTTACGATTTTGACGTAAAGTTATATAATCTTTCTTTTATCGCTTTCAGGTGGAAGATGAATATGAAACCTGTTGATCTCTATTAAAATTTAGTTGGGATAATTTAGGCAAGTTATGACCAACATTGCATTGGATACCGCTTATCATTTCATTCTTTAGTACTTACTCAACTGTCCATCTTGAAAACTGATTCTTTTCTAATAAATCCGAAAAGGTGTATATCTGGAAGTGTTCGAGTTCCCTAATTATTTTTTAATAACTTGAACCTTCGTGATACTGACGTTAATTCATGAGTTGGTCCCCAAGTGTAGTGGATCGTTTCCTAATTCCACGCCATGGGTAAATAGGGTCCGCGCTTTAAGTAGGACTTATTTATAAGATATGGCTTTGGTAAAATAAATTGTCTTGTTTTTATAGGAAGAATTACTTTCCCCACTATTTACATTTATTATAAAAATAAATTTTTGGTGCAGATCTGATTGAAGAGGAGCCTCTTGTGCGTACCAAAGTCGATCAGTTGACGACAGTACGGGCAGAAACCCGTGCGATTTTCGGTGAAGAGGGCAACCAATTTAAATTACCCGCTGTCATAGCGCGCTTAATGGATCTTTTACCCCCATCTGCCACTCAGGTCCTCCTTCCTCCTTTGCAGTCCTCACCTTCATCTCAACCGCCACCTATTTTTCTGTCAGAAACCACATCTATGGATTCTTCAAATGAGTCATCAGAGAGTCTTTACTTTTCTCTTCGCGAGCGTCTTCTTATCTCTGCATATGACATTTATAAGTCTCTATTATCAGGTACTCACACTCTTTCCTCTCTATCTTTCTTACTCAGATTCCGAGAATGACTTCAAGTGGGCTGAATTGAATATTCAAAACGAGCGTAGTTTCTGGTGAGCATCTAATCTCTCCTCGCATAATTAACTTCTTTTCGAAATAGAAATAATTTGTGCTTCCTATTTACAGTACCATTCTCATCGCCATCGTAAAAGGCAAAGGACCTATTCCACTCTTTTTGCTAAAGTAAGTTAATTTTCCAAAAATCTTTCTTTATATCCTTCTATTTATACCATCGGTATGCTGTTATTTTCAACTGAATTATTTTGCTCAACTACTTTTAGTATTATTAAAACATTACGGCTTCGTAAAAAATATTTATTTATAACAAATGGCAGGCGTTTTGATGATTACCATTAGCCTTTTAGTTGATATCAGGCTTCACAGAGGGGAGGAGGAACATCAAAGTGAGAAGAATTCAGGAGGGGGAATAGAAGAGTGATTCCAAGATGTAAAAGAAACAGACAGACACAAAGGCTCAGAAGGGTTAAGATGAGTACTGTGGTATGGGTCGAATATGACATATAGTGGGGGTGATGGTTGTTTAAAATGAGAAGTCAACTGCCGGATAATAGACTTTCTTGCCGTATGATTATAGGTTTCCCAGGGTGCACCACACGGAGGTAAGTCTATCCCACACCCCTCGTAAAAAAATATATGCTTTAATTTAACAATATGTAGGACTTGGGTTGTAATCTTTGTTTTTTTGATAATATGTATAGGGTTCTCGACAGGATAAGAACTTGGACATCTCTTTTGTCACCCATTCATCCTATAGCATAAATAGTTAATATTTTTAGTAATGTTAATTTATAGTTTAAAATGATAATGGTTTTCAAATTTTGCTTCGTCTATTGTTCTATTATATCTACTTTGTTCAGTTGATTCCGCTTCTTATTGTCATGCACGATAACTTTATTCTCACCATTTTTCTTCAAGTCTTTGTCCCCCCCCCCGCCCCCTGCTTAAGTCCAACCCGGTCTGTAAGGGAACTTTTTGCTCACTCATTTAACCATAAAAGCTAATGCGACAAAGACTTCCTCCACCCCCATGTGCATTGCGTATGCGTTGTTTATGGAGATTATAATAGTTTGAAGATTTGTATCCCACGATACAAGCTGCATAATCGTGATGTAGATTATTGGGGGGAATTGGTGCGACTTGGTTTCTCGAATGCGTTCATTTAATTTTAGCAATCTCTTGCAAATGTCACCAGCGCTCGTGCATTCTCAAGTTAAAGTGTTGTGTGAATTTTTGGTTACTGAAGTGTGCAAGTTTGATGAGTTTGATCGGGGCAATCTTCCCACTCCCGACCATATCTTCTCACCATCAGTGGTAGGTCCTTTCTTTCGATAAATTATTATTTCTACCTTCATTACAATTAGCTTCTCTCCAATTAATTTTCCCTTTAGTTATGCTCTGCCATGATAACTTTCTGTGTCCAGTATGGAATTAT